CTATCTATTCTTCGTTCCTTTGTGTACACAATAAACTATTCCTTCTATGATGGCCTTCCCAAGACTTCTCCCATCTCCTATGGAACCGGGTCTGGAAGATTGTAGCTGTTAGGGTTAACCGTCTTAGCCTTAACTACTATAGAACTACCGGAGTGCGACATAAACGTACGGCGATAAAGGCTAAGATAGTGATAAGTGAAGCGGCCTACGTCTTGCATAGATCCAGGATGAAATAACTAGGGCCGCTGCATAAAAAAAGTATAGGATGGCAAGACTCATACTTCCAAGGGCGTAAAATATTCTATTCAAGGTGCTTTACCATGTATGTGCATCACAGATCAACGCTCTGACTCAAGTCCGTCTGTTGGTTTTTTCAATAATTAACGTTTTTATCGAGCGAATACAACCTGGTCCCTCCCCCTTCAGTACCATATGTATTCAACAACTGACTAGCGTAAATCAGAACACATTTCCTTAAAACATAAAATATATTTAAAGGTACATCTAAAGAAACGTAAATTGTTCGCAAAATATTTACTTACTAACGTATCCAGCAGTAGCAAACAATCCGACGTGGGATGTTGGCGACAGAAAATTATGACATCCTTAACGAGTCTGGGTGTTGAACCTCTCCAGGAAGGAATTCGAGCTGGGTAATTCGCCTCCAAGTCTATAACTTGCTGCGGCGCTAGGACCGGTGGCCACCTCGTTTGAAAGAAGACCCACTTTCTTGGTAAGAGAGCCTGCATGGCTTCAACTGCTTGACGATAGTACCGACTGCAGCTGTAGCAGTGGATAACTGATTCATTATTGCCATCCTGCGGCCTGGTGTAGAGGTAATCAAACGAGTCTTCCGATGCTGTTCTACCTGCGCTCAAGCTTGTGTGTTTTACATAACTGTCCTCCTCCGCTTCTTCCCATTCTTCTTCCGTCTCAGCGGTAACTTCCACCCCCTCAACAACTGATCGATGGCCATTGGTTGGATGTGCACAATCAATTTCACAACTGAGATTGAAAAAGTCCTCCAAAGTCACTGATCCATCTTATGCGTTGGTCTCGATTTGTTTCGGTTTAGAGCGAGGTTCAGCGAACAGGGCGTACAGCACATAGTTGCCGCAGTCGGGGAACAGTTCGTATGCATTTGTAACAACATCATTTACACGGAATAGTGTAGATATATGACTCACAGATGGTGAGCAACTGTAGCTTGAAGATCGTTCACCCCTATAAAAGCTACGGTGATATGGGGCCCAGTCGATGAAAGAACTGATCTCTGCAGCGGTTTCTAGGTCAGTCTGATTGCACAAATAAACTGGTTCCTTGCTGTTCTGACAGGCTGGGCAACCCAAGAAGTCGCCGAAATAGAAAATACGAGAAGCGCGGGTTTCCCGTTGGTACAGAAGGATATGCAGGGTTTGCAGGTACTTAGTGGAAGAAATTCTGTAGACGGAGCCAAACTGATCGGAGTCGGTGCCGACTGAGTAGCGGACATTGGCCACGGAAGGGACATAAGTGGAAGGCGTGGAAGAGCTCATGCGGTCAGATGCCAGATCCGGATCTGACAACTGTGTTTTGACTTTGGCCTCCAATTGTCCCTCCAGGGATGTGGTTGGGCTGCCTGAACGTGTGATCTAAAAATGTGTACTTCCAGCGGATCAGAAGAGAACAGGTCACGTATGATGATAAATGATAAATTTAGTGTATATGAAAAAGCTTTGTAGGCCTCACTTACTTTTATACCACGATGGGCATTTATAAGTTGCTACTTTAAACGAAATTTTATTTTGGAATGAGCTTCATTAAAACCCAACGAAGGCCGCATAGAATAAGAGATGGCAGGAGATCATGGAAAATCAGTTCAAAAACGCGAGCGATACCCAACTAGACTTGGCAAGGTATCCACGGAAGTTGCATCATCAAACTTACAGGTGCCGCCGCAGACAGAGCTGTAACGGCAAATATCCTTGCTCTTGAGCCTACCAAATCCAACAAGAGACAAAAGAATAAATCCTGTTCACAATAACATGAATGTTGCCTGGCAACCGACAACACGAGCATTTCTGACAGTAGAGGAGAAAGACAAAAAACTACTCCTAATACAAGCGAACATGCGTGTCCCAGAAAGAAATTGAGAAGAAGAAGACTCAATCGCTGGGACAATACGTTTATTCGCCTGAC